GGGGGGGGGGGGGGGTCGCCCCCCCCCCGACGCGCGGGCTGCGGGCGACGGGGCCGCGGCTGCAGCCATGCCCCTACCGCAGCCCCAGCCTCCACACCGCAAAAAAAATCCGGCACGGCTCACGCATGGCTGCGGTGCCGTCACCGGCGCGGTTGACGGCACGGTCTCCGGGCGTGACGGCTGGCGAGGAAAGGGTAATGGTAACAGGCCGCATCAAAGCCCCAAGCCTGCGTGCTCTGTGTCGGGCTGACTGTACAACCTAAGTATGTGCAAGGCACCGCGTTGCGCAGAAGGCAGCTAAGCAGCCGCACGCCGCGCACACCCACTCGAAAGGGTCCGCACGATTAATGTGCGTCGGGGGCGGAGGTTTGCGCGCGATGGTGCCAGGTACTGTTGTGTCGCCGTCAATGGTGCGGCGATGAGCAGGCGCACGGCCCTGCGAGACTGTTGCGCCACGGTTCGCCCGAAAGCGGGCCGGGCTGCAGCCCACTAGTTTGCCCGCCGCGAGCTGCAGAGGGCAGAGGCGAGACCGGACTCTGTTGCTAGCTGCCGCCGAGGGCGACAGAAAACACAGCTCTGTTGGCGTGCAAGGGTGTAATAGAAAGGAATAGCTGTGGAGAGATGGGAGATGAACGATACAAAGTACAGAAAAAAGCCCCGAACAAAGGGTGGCGCCGGACAACGTCGCGTCGGGCCAATTGCATAGTGAAGGGGTGTCCGGCACAGGCCCGGCTATTTGCAGTGTCAGCGCCCGGCGGGGTGCCAGGTCCCAAGAAGTGAGTGCTTTGGTGTGTGTGGGTAAATGAGCGTGCACGTCTGTGTCTGTGTCTGGCTGCAAGTCGCGCCGGAAAGAGGTGCGTCGGTATGTACGGTCCCCTGGACTGCTGTTGAGGTCTCGCCCGCCTTCCAGCAGAGAGAGGGCACAGAGGTGCCTCACGCGGGGCGGCCGATGCGAGGGTCCGCAGAAGGCGACGCGGCTTGCGTGTCCAACAACGTGTCGGGCGGCCGCGTCGCGCCGCGCTCGGCCTGCCCGCACGTGCGCTTTCTGGGCTGTCAGCCACGCACGGGGGCGAGGGCCTGCCAGGCCGCCGGCCCACGTTCCTGTGCACTTCCGGTGGAGGGTCGTGGTTGGCCCCGCGAAATGCGCGTGCGGCTGCATCAATGGGAGCCGTCGTGCGGGCGGGCCGAGCCCCTCGCAGCTTCAATTGGGTACACACAACGGCAAAGCACGCTCGGCAGATTGCCGGGCCCACTTGTCATGGAGTGTGGCAGGCTGGCTGCCAGGCTGCCGCGGCGCGAGCGGGACCGCCCGCCGCCCCGGCGCAGCCGCGGCACGCGTGCGGCGCCGGCCAGCAGCGGCAGGCGGCTCGCGGGCCGGGTTGCCCGGGGCGTTGCGGGTCGTCGGTTCAGGCCGCCTCGACGCCGCGGCCGCACAGCAGCGCGCCCAGGGCCTTGGACAGCGCGGAGCGGACCTGCACCAGGGTCGCGACAGGGTGGTGGGGGTCATACTTCAAAGTTTTAAGTTACTCCGGTGGCTGCGACGGCTGGAGTAGCTGCAATGTGGCGAGAACAGGATGCACTTCCCCTGCGTTGGCATGCATGGGTGCTGCGAGAGGGGGACAGCATTGCTGGCGCCCCCAGCCAAGCATACTCACCGGCGATTGGGGGCGCAGCGGCACGCGCCCGCCATCATTCGCTGCGACCCGGGCGTCGCCCCCGCCGCGCCGCGCCCAACCCTCCGGCACGCCTGCGGCCTCGCCCGCAGGGGCCGCGCCCCCGGCGCCGTGGGCGGCGCGGGGGCCGTCGGCGCGTGCGTCCCAGAGCGACGTGCCGCAGGGTGCTCCGCTGGCGCGGGCGGCTGCGGCGGCAGGAGGGCTCTCTAGGTCAGGGCAGCACACTGCAGAGCTGGCACTATCAAACACGGCCCGCGGCTGCGGCTCGCCTGCTGCAGCTGTGGTAAACGCCGAGGCCGTCGCGCCGCCGCCGCAGCGCGCTACTGCGGCCCAGCAAGCTTGCGTCCCCACCCCGCAGAGCGGCGGCGGCGGCGGGCCCGGCCACGCCAGCCGGAACCACTCCGCGTCGTCGCGCCACTGCCGCTGCAGCCGCCGCCGCAGCTCCCGCTGCCACGCCGCCGCGGCCTCGGCGTCCGCGGCCGGGCACGCGGCGGCGGCGACCCATGGGTGCGCAAGCAGCTGCGCCGCGGAGGGGCGGCGCAGCGGGTCCGGCTGCAGGGCCGCGCGAACAAAGTCGGTGCAGGAGTCCGAGGTGCCTGGCGGCAGGGGCGGGGGTGCCTGGCAGGTGGCCTTGAGGGCGGCGACCTCTGGGCGAGAGGCGGCAAAGGGTACGCCGCCTGTGAGCGCCTCCACCAGCTGTGAGGGCGAGGCGGGTTGTCGTGCAGAGGGCAGCGGTGGGGAGGGGACGGGTGTTGCGAGGTTGCAGCAGTCTGGAAGTGAGGGTTTTCGACCGGAAAACGTGCTGCTGTGAGGGACGCCCAAGGGGGAAGGGCGCACAAAAATCGTGGATGATGGACAGCAGGCACGAATCTACATGCGTGAAACGGCGACGCATACAAACACACGGGCGACCGCCCCACATTTGACCGCATCGCACCAGTGCCCCGAGGCTCCATACGTCCGCCTTGTCGGTGTAACTCGGCAGCCACCCGGCCGGCAGCGCCGCCGCCTCCTCTGCACCAGGCTGCGCCAGCACCTGCACGGGTGCGATGCAAGTGTGTGCATGGTTGTGTGAGTGCTTTGTGCGCGCGCGCGCGTGTGTGTGTGTGTGTGTTCATGAGTAGGTTAGTTGTGTGGAGTTGTGGATGTAAAAGAGAGACAGAGAGGCGG